TATAGAGATATACAACTATATTTGATTATGATTTATTGAGGTTGTAATATTCGAGCGGTTCTCGATGACAAGACCTGAAGGTCTTCTGCGAGTCTCCGCGTTCTTTTTATAAAATTAAATACCTGTAACTATATTATCTTTTACTTAGTTCTTATTTATGATTTTGTTATTTAAATGTTAACGATTTTATTGTACAACAATTTACTAAAATGTTTAACAAAAGAACTAACAAAAAAACAAAAAACAAAAAACAAAAAAAAACAAAAAATTTGTATTTTTGTCTACTGAACAGATAAACAATACATAAAGAGGACGTGAATGAGCAGTTATTTGCTGTAAGAAAAATTATGGATGCAAGGTGCGAAACTATACCAACTATTGAAATCAGAGTTTGAACGCAATAGTTTAATGAAAAAATTGTGGGTTAATTTTTTGAAGGAGCAACAAACATGCATGGCGAATATCATGAAGTTCAACGTTACATAAACAAATTTTTACTAAATGTTGTATACATGTGAGTTTGTCCGCAACAGTTATTGTGGAAATTATATAAGATGTCAAAAATATTATGTCTCTTGCATACTACAGCAACTTACTTTTGCAATTCTTGCAAACGAATGAATATTTGGGCGGATGTTCTCATTATACTAGGAGTTGGATCTGCATTACTAAAAAGACAACAAAAAATTGGTGAAACACGTTGTTGGTCAAAACAAGCAATGGTCACACGATGTTTTAACAAGTTCTTGGAACTTATGATGCTCCAGTCTTTTATGCTCTTTTCAAGTTTTTAATTGTTTAAGAATGTTTTCAAGATTTGACGGAAAGTCAACATTTGACAACACAGCACTGAATAACAAATGGCATCGATTCTATGTGCTTTTGCAGCCTTTCTGCTTCTATATGTGTACATCATTTTCTACTTGCAATAAGCTTCCAATTATTGGCAAACAGGAGGTCAGGATTATTAAAGCCCTTGGAATACGGTGGAGTCAGCAAAACAAGAGTTACAGAAAATATCTTTCTAAGATGTCTGTTCAAAGTCGATTGTGTTTGTTGAAGAATCCAACACCCTCCTTGAAACTCGTAATCTTAATTCAAAAGAAATATATGGCAGGATAACTTGTCTTTAATGACATACCAGAGAATCTTTTTGAACTTTTTAAAATGAAAGTTTTTCGAAGAGTAACTGATTGGATTACCGCATGCATAGATAAATGTTTCTCAGTTAACAGTGACATCATTAGTGACGCTGTATATTTAGATTTAAGACGTTTTAAAGCATTTGTCAAAAATGGTATTTCCGAGAACACTCTTTTAAAAATCTTTTTTGTTAACTAATCTAGGTTCTGACAGATTGTGGTTTGAATTGCTTAACTCTGCTATAAACATTGATGGGCTCTCAAAAACAATACGAGATCAATTTTCAGTGAGTCCTAGTGACGATGATTCGAAGAGGAATCAAACTCTCAGAATTGGATACTTCAACAAATGCTACTGAAATTAAGAATGACAAAGATTTTCAAAACTTTGAACGTTGTATAGGGTCTTGTAAAAAAATGCATAAAATGTTACTATAGTATGTTATAAAAATATTCCTTAAATCCAACCGCTTATTCAAATATGTTTCTGGTATAAGAACATGTATTAAAACTTTTATTCTCACAAGTTAGCTGTAAACCGGCATTTAGTAAATTAAAAATTGTCAAAACTAGATTGTGTTCTTCACTAGGTAACAACAAGCTTGATAGATATATGTTATCTAGACCAAAAAGTACATTTTGGATTCAATCAAGATTTAGTAGAGTTATCAAATATATTGCTTTTATAAATTATGTTAAGAATTGTAATCCGCTACATTATAAATACCAGTTACACCACACGGTCCACACACCACTTTTGATTTTTAAGTATTAAAAGGAGTCTTTATTACTCGTTTGTCATAATAAAATTCATCATGTTATTGTGATTATTTTTATTATTATCATTGCTTACATTACTATGATGTATATATATATATATATATATATATATATATATATATATATATATATATATATATATATATATATATATATATATATATATATATATATATATATATATATATATATATATATATATATATATATAAATAAATAGAATATATATATAAATAAAATAATAGTGATATATGTAATAATTATAATAATAATAATAATACAAAATAATCACAATAATAATAAAGTATCAATAATATTAAGAATAATTATAATACAATAAAAATTGTAAGTACATATCATAGATAATAATTAAATATAATAATAACATAAAATGTAACAATAATAACACAATAATAAATAAGTATAATATAGATAAATAATAAATAAAGCAAAAATCAAACCACTCGTTCGTTAAAGAAATTAAATATCGACAACTACAGTGCAGAGAGAAGTTATAAAGAAATACACTCCAACAATATTTTTTTAAATTGAATTCTGTTGAGCAGTAAATAATTTGTAACAAAAGGATATTTTTTTAGACTTTTTTATTAATGCAGGAATACACTGGTTATATTGGGAAATACATTGTTGTTTTATGGAAAACTTACAATATTTAATTGTGTTGAAAAAAGAAGAATATAGCTTACTATTTTGTGCATTCATGATGTGATGATTTTGTGCATTCATGGTGTGATGATTTTCTGCATTCATGGTGTGATGATTATGAATATCATTTGTTTTAATAAAAAAAAAACTAAAAAAGAGTAAATCAGTTATTTCATACATAAGTAACATGATATACGGAATTATATTGTATGCATGATTTTTGAACTTTTTAAGTTATTTCACCTATTCATATTCAACTTGAAAGAATCTTCATATGGATGAATTTTGTAACTTAAAATACCCCCTTCTCAACCCATTTTCTACCTTCTTCCCGCACTTATAGCGCCTTTCCCTCTTCCTTTTCCGGTTAGGATTAAATTTAAGTTCACCGACTGGTTTTAAAGTTATGACCATACAGATTTTATAACGTCATTTTGGGGGGTCAGAAATTTTGCATAGTCATAATTTTTGTAATTTACAATATTTTTAATAAAATTTAAAACCTGTCGATGAATTTAAATTTAGTATTAGATAATAAAGCTGAACATTTTTTTTTGGTTCCCGATGCTCCATCATTGCAATTTTTTGCAAAGTTTCCTCATTTGGCGTAGGCATAAACGTCTATCAGCATTTAGTTTTTATGTATAGATACTACAATAACCACTTGCTAAAAATCTGAGAGTTTGAAAATAATCTTTTGAATATTAAGTTTGAAATAAATATAAGGTAAAATACAAACAACAATTCTAAATTTCCTGGATTATAGAAAATAAGTATTAATATCAAATAGAATACAAATATCAAATTGAATACAAATATTTTTGTTAATTTATTATAAATTTTGAAAATAAAAAAAAGTGGTAAAAATGGAATTAACGTGGAAAAAACATAAAAAAACAATTGGAAAAAACACAAAGAACAACTACTAGTTGAGCAGATAATAAATTCGAACAATTGGAAAAAACACAGAGAGCAACTACTAGTTAAGCAGATAAGAAAATAACTTCGCATTCCAGATGAGTCAAACAGCAGTTAATGGTTGTTTTTTTAAGATGGCAATATAACTAGAACTAAAAAAACCAACTTTTTCCTAGAAATTTTTAAAAAGCCGACTCTCGTCAAGGTTAAATATTCTCTTGTAACGTATTAGATTTAGTTGTTAACTAAAGAGGAAAGTGAAAGAAAAGGACAAAAAAATATAGATGTTAAAATTAACAATTTTTTGAAAAAATACAAGCTTATGGAAAAAAACAAAATGTTTTCAACAAAAATTGACAATATAAAATATTGTAAAACATTTATTAAAACTAATGATTTTATATGATTTTTGTCAAAATTCTTGAAAAATAGTTCAATAACGTCGAAATTTTTTTGCCTTACCTAAGACGTTTTGAAAAAAAGATTAGTGTAAATAAAGTTTATTTAAAATTAGACTTATGTACGAGTTAATATGATAAGAATGTCATTAAATTTTAAAGGTTAAGTAAAATGCTGTAATTGCGTTATAAATAAAAAAAATAAAAAGAATGTAATGGAATAGCCATTGTTTTTATGGACTATTAAAGATTGTGTACGACATTTGATCCTAAAAAAAATTTAGGCAAGGCTCCTAAATTACCAGCGCAGTAACATTTATGCTGTCTCAATAATATCATCACTCGGCAAAGAAAAAAATACAACCAAAAACAGGTTGACCGCATTTTATTGCAAGAACTACATATATTAACATATTTGTTCCTAAAAAACATAGAAATAAGAAAAAAAAATACTCGTGATAAATAATCTACATTTACTTTTTAAAAGCAAGATATATAAATAAGATGTTTTGGAAAATATTTTATATTTACCTTTTAAAAGTAAGTAAAAAGGTTTTACTATAAAATTTTAAAAATGAACACCTCAGTTAAAACAAGTAACAAAAAAAACTAAAAACAGATAAAATGTAACTTAAAATAATATAAGAAAAAGCCAAATAATATGCTGTTTCGTCACAGTAAAATCTCTTTTTATAACTTCTAAACACCCAAACATTGCCTGTTATAAACCAGCAAAAACAAAAAATAGTAATCAGTGAAAGAAGAGATTTAGTAATTGATAGTTTTTTAAAATCATTTATTATTGCAAGCAATAAAAGTACGAGACTTGTTGCTCCAGCAACTATTAAAAATATTGGTATCATTGGTTCAACAGAACATTGCTCTCTTTTTAATTCTCCTAAAAATATATACATATATATATATATATATATATATATATATATATATATATATATATATATATATATATATATATATATATATATATATATATATATATATATATATATATATATATATATATAAATATATATATATATATATATATATATATATATATATATATATATATATATATATATTGGTATCATTGGTATCATAAAAATATTGGTATCATTGGTTCAACAGAACATTGCTCTCTTTTTAATTCTCCTAAAAATATATACATATATATATATATATATATATATATATATATATATATATATATATATATATATATATATATATATATATATATATATATATATATATATATATATATATATATATATATAAATATATATATATATATATATATATATATATATATATATATATATATATATATATATATATATATATATATATATATATAAATACGTATGCATGTATGTATGTATGTATGTATGTATGTATGTATGTATGTATGTATCTAATATTTGTTTATAGTTTTACTATAAATTCTTACCTATGACGATCATCGCAATAGGTAAGCCAGATAATAAAATCACAATTATGAATCCAATTACTAAAACAACAGCAATGGCAAAACAAAAGACAAATAAGAAAACAAAAAAAATCAGGAAAAAAAGAAAATTTATAACAACACTCAAAATATTGTCAAAACAAAAAATAAGTTTGACATAAAAGCTCACAGCAATAACCAGTTGCACCAAGTGCTTTCTCCATACATAACAGAATACGGGATAACAAACCTTAGACGGAGAAAACAAAATTATATATACATATATAAATATTTTATAGTTTAAAAAAACTACATTAAAATAAAAATAAAAGTAAAATTACTTTTACTCAAAAACATTCTCATAGGTTCTCACCCGTTATTAAGAATAAAATATTTTTTAGACTTACCCCTATTTTCGTTTGATAGTGCATCATCCTAAAATACAATTTGTAAAAAAATAAACTTTTTCGGTTATACAAAATATTTATATAGTTAATATGCTCATTTACTCATTTCCCAAAAAAGTTAATATATTTTATATTTTCATGTAGGTAATATATTTAATTATTTATTTCTGAAAAAATTATTTTTATTCTAAGACATGAAGATTGTATTCTTGTCTTAATAATTATTTTATCCTGTCTAAATAATTATATTCCATATTCCTGTATCCATTAGCCTGTGTCAAAAAAAAAAAAAAAAAACAGAATACTCTCTAATCTTAGTCATTTGACTATATTTAAAGTTTTAGAACTGTAGGACAAGTCTAACAGGATTACATTGATGCTGCTTTAGAAATAAGAAATTTTTAAATTTTTATTAATATTAAGTTTTTTTTTTTTACTTTTTCGGAATAATGTTTATAAAGTTTTTACTTAAAAAAATTGCAAATACTAAAACTATCCTTAGACGTTTATTTAGTGTCAAACAATCAGTCACTGACAATTCAATTTTACATAAATAGACTAATTTTACTTTATGTTTTTTTTCCAGCTAAATAAAATATTGAACAAAATGGGCAAAGTTAAAAGAAAAATATTTAGTTATTCTATCAATTCAAGGAGAACTTGTTACCTTCTGAAATATCTCATCAATGGTCTACCAGATAGAGAGCTTCCTACTATTGGAAACAGTTTAAGGTTCAAATACTTTTGATAACATAATACCTTTGAAAAGTTGATTATGTAAATTCATTCTATTTAGTTTTAACTTATCTAACTCATATTTAAATTATTCAAAGTTAAATTTAAAAAATACATAATATGACTATTTTTTGCCAGGTACTACTTATATCTACAATCAGACAAAAGCTATAAATTTAAGCCCTTCAAGGAAAACATGGGTTGTCCTCAGGAAAACGGTAAATTTGATCTAGTTTGTCAGGGAGGATAGAAATAACTGTGTGGTGAATGATGCTCAGAGAGTTTGGAAGAGAGCAGGATTTGGAGGTGCAATTCAGACTGGTTCAGTCATAAGGTTATTTTATGTTTTATATTTTTTTAAATATTTTGTTTCTATGTAATATTCACCATTTAAACATTTCATGTTTTTCATAACTTGAACCCCTAAAAATCAGTTCTCACTTTTTAGAAAAAAAGCTTTGCAAGATACAGAAAAAATACATAAATTTGCTTCGAGTGACAAAACTTTGATCAAAGAAAAAAGCACAATCAAATCATAATTTGTTTTTAGAAGAATTTATTTGCTTTTCGACAGATTTTCCAGGTCAGATTTCAAGCAGAGGATAAGCCAGGGCAGAGATCATGAAAAGGTTCAAGAAGACTTAACCTTCCTGGAGGATCAAGGAAGAGAGAGAAAGATGATTGTTTTAGGGGAAGACAAGGACTACTTGAAAAAAGTGATAATTTATTTTGCAAGTAGAATAAGTTTTTATTCATTTTGCTGTTTTTTTAACTATTTTCTTTTTATTTAGACTGAAATGAAGCTTGCAAAATTAGATCAGATTGAAAGACAGTAAGAGAAAGGGTAAAAGAGACAGAGTTCAGAAAAACAATTCTTTGTGACAGAGGGTTTCTGAGAATGAAGATAAAACATCTCTTCATTTTCATGATTCAGATATCTCAGAGTCTAATCATATTTGTAGACAGAAAAATAACAAGATTCTCATTGAGCTTACTGCTGAAAAACTTATTGAAGCAACATCTGCTTGTGCTACAACATCAGTCATAGAGGTCATTACAATATGCTAACTAGTATCCTTAATGCTGCCAATGTTGATATTGATAATGTTAATACCTCTCTATCAACTCTTCATAGAAATCGATATGTTAGCATTGAGAAACAGGGTGATTTTATTAGAAATGAGATCATAGATAAATTAAAAGGCAAAAGATTAATGTTACACTTTGACACCAAACTTGTGAAGCAAATTTGTGAGCAGAAGAATATTTCTGTTACAAATGATAGACTAGCATTAAGTGTATCCACTCCAGACGCTCCGAATTCAGAAGATATTCTTTTAGGTATTCAAATAATTGAAAATTCAAAAGGAGAAGTTCAGACAAAGGAGATTTTTAACATTCTTCAATACTATGATTGTGTAGATAATCTTACTAATATTATTGACTTTAACATCCTATTGGTTCTATGTAGGCATCATATATATGAAGTTCACATTTCACATTTCTTAGAAGTTTTGTTTAGAGGTACTAAGGGTCCACAAAAACCACTTTATGTTAAATTTAAAAAGATCTTGCCAGAGATCTTTGATTAGGTAAATAAGCTTGATAATGTATCTATCTTTGATTGGAGCCAGTAGCGTAGCGAAGGGCCCGCAGGGCCTGCAGCCGCGGGGAGGCCCAGAGTTATTAGGGGCCCAAAAGGGGCAACAAAGAAAAAATTAAAAAAAAAGTGTCAGTACAATAAATAACATGCGTATCATTTAACATACATACAAAACATATATTTTACACTTTGTACATTATTATGTAGTTAATAATCTTGACAAGTTCTTTGAATAGTGAGCAACTTTTTATTTTATTATATCTACGAATATAAAAATAAACTACTATTATTTATAAAATAAAATACAATTTTCAAAGTCGCAATTATGAAGTCGTTACAATTTAACGCAAAATACGTTAATTAAGCTACTTAAATAATTAAACGATTTTAAAAAAAACAATAATTTACTCGCTTTTTTAAAATTGCCATAGTTTCCCAAGTGAACGCCTTTTTTTTAAAACAAAAACAAAAAAACCAAACTTAATTACGTAAATTAAAGTAAAATGAAATAAGAGAATAAAAAAATAAATAAAAATGTTTCATAAAAAAGAAGAAAATAGTATTACAAGAAACAGCAATAAAACAGTAAGAAAGTATAAAATAAGATATAAAACATGAAATAATTAATCATTCAAGCCGTTAAATGACGTGATGCAACCTCAACCAGCTTTAATCGGCGCTACGAAAGTTTTTAAAATAGTTTTTAAAATAGCTTTAAATTAATAACTTGATAAATAGTAAACTGTTTGTCTTGTATTTGAATTTAGTTGCTGTTTTTTATTTGTGTTTTGTAATCTAGGTGTTTTGATTTTATTATTATTTTAATGTTTATTTATTTACAAAAAAAACTTAATTATTTTGTTTATTAAAAGACAACTGTGAAAATGAATAACAAGAAAAAAGAAGAGGAAAAAAGTTTAACAAGTGGTTTCAGAAAGAGAAAAAATAAAGAAATAGCTAATGAAAGTTTTGCAAAACAGCTGCTAAAAATACCAAGACTGACATCTTTTTTTGCTTCAACTTCAAACACAGTACAATTGGAAAATATTAATAGAATGCTAGATGAAAGTGCCAATACGACCGAAAAGTATTCTGAAATAGAAATATCAAATGTGTCAAATATAGCTAAAGTACCGCTAAAAAAAGCAGAAGTTAAAAACATATGTGATTTATCTGAAATTATTTGTGAGCAATACCCTTCTGATTTTGCAAATTTTAAAGATGTTATAACGGTAGAAGAAAAACAATTCATTTTATCTGTCGGTCCTTGTCGTCCTGAAGGACCTTTTCCTAAAGATGATAGAAATCGTTCTTTCTCAATAAATTACTATAAAAAAGTTACAAAATCAGGAATATCTATTGAAAATACTTGGTTATGCTACTCACCAAACAAAAACTTAATTTACTGTCAACCTTGTTGGTTATTTTCAAGCGAGAAAAAAAATAGTGGTTGGATACGAGGTATAAATGACTGGCAAGGACTTTCAAAAAAAATAAAGAAACATGAAATTTCTGAGGTTTACATAAATACTTGTTTTATTTTGAAACAATGGAAGGAGGAAAAAACAATAGATACTATGTTACTCGATAATATTCAAAAGGAACAAACATTTTGGGCAAAAGTTTTAGAAAGACTTACTAAAATAACATTAAAATTAGCTAAAAATTGTAGTTCTTTTCGAGGGCAAAATGGTTCACTTGAAGATATTTATAATGGTAATTTTTTTTATCAGATGTTCAACTATTAGCGGAATATAATATTGTTTTGAAAGAAGTGATATCTTTGCCTCGTGACCATGTTAATTACTTAACGCCTCAAATTCAAAATGAAATTATTTGTCTTTTGTCAAAAAATTTAGAAAGAAAAATTATCAATGATATCAATTTAGCTCCTTTTTTTTCAATGATTGTCGATACTACTCAAGATTTATCAAAAACAGACGTTGGTCTGTTTAGTATTTCCTTTCGATTTGTTAAAATTTGTTATAACATAAATGGATCTCATCTCCTAATAAAAATTGAAAAAAAACTTTTAGGGTTTTTTAAAGTTAACTATCAATCGGCAAGTGCTATATCAAATCAAATTATTAATATACTAAAATCATTTGGTCTTGATTTGAAAAAATGTAGGGGACAAGGTTATGATGGGGCAAGCAACATGAGTGGAATTTACTCTGGAGTACAAACAAGAATAAAAGAAATTGAAAAAAACGCAATATTTATTTATTGCGCGGCCCACAATTTAAATTTAGTAATAAATGATGCTATGAATGGGGTGCCAGATATTAGCAACTGCTTTTCTAGTATACAAGAAATATACACATTTTTTGGTATTAGCATAAATAGGTGGGACATATTATCAAAAATAACAGGAGAACCAGAAGTAACGTTAAAAAAATTAAATCCTACACGCTGGGCGTCTCGTTTATCATCTTGTATAGCCATAAAACAAAGATATGTAGACGTAATGAAAGCTTTATCTAAAATTATTTTGGAAAGCAATAAAAAAGCAGAAATAGCACAAGCGACCGGTTTAAGAAAGTAAATGGATTGTTTAGATTTTCTTTGCATTTTGGTGTTAATTATTGAAATATTAGCACCATTAAATATCGTTTCAAAATTATTACAATCTAAAAATATGGATTTGGATAAAGTTTGTTCATTATTAGAAACTGGAATAAACGAAATAA